ATTTTTCTTGATACTCAGATCTTGTCACTTTGGAAGATTATGGGCCAATTATTTTATGGGATGTTCCTAAATTTGATTATCCAGTATTTCCTCATGATTAGATTAATATTCTGCACCACTGGTAGGAATATCACAGAGTTCACTCTGATTACTTCGTTAAGGTTGCATCTGCCAGGCTCCTCCACTGTGAAGCTACTGTTTCCCCCTCCTGTAATTAATGTTTCATTAAGAGATACTTTGAAGCCATATTAATATCCCATTCCTCATCATTATTTGCTTATATCTGATTTGACATTTGATTTCCTATTTCCCATTTAACTCGGTGGGATGTCATAAAAATGAATAGCAGAAATGTTTAAGTGTTTTAGGAATGTAGGAATGAAAGGCAGTACACAAGAGCTTATGACTCTGAGTAGCAACTACATAAAATTTGCACATTTGTAAAAAGATAGTAAAAATATGTTGTAATCAGTGATAGCACTTGAGAAGTTAATTTTTTTCTTTTGGCATGATTTTGAAATACTGATTATACATTTACTATGTTATAGTAAACCTACATTATGATAGTAAATACAGTTTTAGGGAAGATAGAAAAAGACAGAAATGCTTGTCAAATGTGGCTTTTCCCCGTTCCCTCCCCCCCCCCCCCAACTAACATAATATAAAAAGTCTGGTTGCATAAAGGCTGAATACTTTGGTCTATTCCAAATGTCTCCTAGTTCTATACGTATGACAGTGGCTGTGGAGTAAGAGAAATTTTAAATGCAGACACTTTGGAAGATTCTTGAAGCCTAAGCTGTGTCTAAGAAATTGCAGCCCTATGTCAGTTATTCCTCATTAAAACTGGCAGGGGGTGGGGGAACAAACTCCCCCCTCTTTTCTCTTTAGGCAGAAGTGTATGCTTACCTAGATTATAAAACCCAGCCAGAATCTTCTCTTTTATCTGACTTCAGAATAATTTTTGTTTTAGGAAGAGATGTCATATTACTAGAAGGTTGCCTAGTGAAGGGGCCACTGTCACTAGCAGTGGGGTGCTGCTGCCATTCAGGCAAATGTAATAATATGCAGCATGTAGCTGCCCCTTTTGTACTCACTTTTTCAAATAAATGCCATTTGAATGAAGGGCAGAGCGATTTGTTTGGCTGTTTGTGGGGTTACTTGACTGGATGTTTGTTGTTCCTGATGCAGGAGATCTTTAGTTTTAAGCATGAGATTTCCAAGGCTGACAGCCAGGTATTAAGGAATAGCAAGAGGAGATCCAGGTGGCAGGGTTCTCTGAGTGCGTAAAGGGACCATTGTTCCACCCACACCACTGACTTCCTTATGGATTGAAATGACAGGGTACATTTTAGATTTGTGGCGATGCAGTTCTGGGGTCACCCTCACTTAAGAGAGAAGGCCTTTTTTTTTTTTTTTTTTTTTTTTTTTTGAGAGAAGGCCTTTTTGCTGGGCATAAATGTTATTTTCTTGATGAGGAAAAGGAAAATGTGATTTATACTAGGTGACACAGCTGGTCAGTGCTGATATGTCTATAGGCACCCAGACCTGGCTCAGAA